CTGATTCACAACCCCCCCCTTTGCTATCCCCCCCTTTCGCCCGACCCGAATCGTGCCCACGAGAGGGTTCTTCATGCACACCGCCATGCTGAGGACCCCCTTCTGGTCGGTGCTGTCCTTCCGCGCCTTCTTGTAGCGGAAGTGAAGCACGTCCGCGCCGACCTCGGACGGCGCCTTCAGCAAGATCACCGCCTCCCAGCACTCCTCGATGGGGCCGTAGATGCTCTCGTCCGCGTGGACCGCCCCTGCCTTGGTGAGCTCCAGGATGGGACGCAGCACGTTGATGAGCACACACACGTACGGGGCGCCCCTCGAGCGGACGTCCACGGCCTCGCCGTTCTTCTGCTTCTGCCTCCGCTCGCCCGAGGTCTTCTCGCAGTCGGCCCCCCGCGGCGCGGCACGCGTGCCCGATGGCCTCCTCGCCGTCCTCCGACGCGAGGTTAGCTCGCGTACACGGCCGACTCCGGCGTCGCGATCCGGCGGGCGCCCGTCAGCACCAGCTTCGCGAGCATGATCACCAGCATGCGGTAGTCGTCCTTGGGGCCTCGACCACCGCCTCCGCCTCCCGTGCCCGCCGCCTCGGCCACCTTCTGGTCGCGAGCCGGCGCCGATCCGAGGTTTCTCCGCTGCAGGCCGCCTCATCCACGATGGCATCGCGGCCTCCGACATGGCTACGCCTCACGGAGAAGCTCGCGCAGAAACGTGTAGGTGCAGGTCGATCCCGCAAGATTCTCCACGGAAGGTGAACCAAACGATGGCTATTGTAGGCTTGGTAATTCTCTCCTTCGAAAGGACACAATAACCTTCAGGATCAACATAATTAGTAATAGACTTAGGCTCCCATCTCCCACAGTATCCTCTTAAGATTGCATGATGTAGGTGACGGGACGCGGTAACCTTAGAACGAAATGTTCGGTCACACATCGGGCAATGGTTAGTCTTGATCAGGACGTGGCCTAGGTTCCTTATGTGGTGTTGTGCTCGTAAATGATTCATAAGACCTTTAGCAGTACTGAAGGCTTGTTGACATTGTTGTCCATCATCACCTGACGCTGTACACCTTAGGCGATGCTTAAGAAAACCTAAGTTTTCGTCCTGAGTCTCGATTATTCTTAACTTTTCAATGTAAATCCCAAGATTTTGATAGAAGTTCTGGGTTTTATTCAAGTTCTGAGACTATGAATTTCTTAACCCATGATTTCTTAAGCACTTCGCAGGGTGTACATTTAAACGGGAGATCGGTTTCAGTGTCAGCTTCCATGTTCAAGCTCGGTGCGGCAGGAGGGCTCCACCCAGGCGGGGGGGACCTCGAAAGACTTCCGACAATCACGAACCCGACGAAACTCAATCCACTTACACTCCCTCATCACTGCCTCATCCTCGATCAGCAACCAGGGGCAGGTAGAAATACGTTCTAGTAGGTCCTCGTGGTCAGGGCAAGCACGGGCAGCGTCCTTACAATCGAGACCGACACGTTTAGTCCATGGCGACGCCCACTCCGTGAGTCCTGACTCCGAACAAGGCCAACGATCGTTCTGTTCAAAGGGGAGGCCTGCAAACAACGCTGTCAAGATCTGCACATGCTCATCTTGTGCAGAGGCCCAACCTTGGTACCACGCCAGCCTCCTAGTTAATAGCTCGATCGAACAAGTGGCAAGATCCCAATACTGCAATACCTCTTCAGTGGACAACGATCTCTTCGAGCCATCTTCTCTCTCCGCACAAGCAAGACCCTGCATCGCTGAACGACCTAGACGAGCCAAGTGACGATCCATGGCACTCAACTGCTTCTCGCTCAAGATGAATGGCTCCATGTCCGAGAGTAGGGAGCCTTGCACGAGTCCTACAACAATGGTTCTCTTCCACCGCTTCGGGGATCGTGCAGCCCAGAACGAGCCCATACTATAATATGCCGACGTGGCTGCAACCAATCGCCTCTCGACTTCAGGTGCAGATGCTTGGGTAGGGGTAATAACTGGTCCAAGGTAGCGAGCTACATCGCATACAGACCCGTCTAATCTCTTGTTCTTTACCCCCTCCTCCCGTATGCATTTTACTCTGTTTTTGTCGGTTTTGGACATAGCCAGCTGGACGCAACGCCTCGTCAAGAATCCGATCTGCCTCGTGGAGTTGGGAGAACACCTCTTCCATGGACGTGCCGACAGGGAACAACAGGGTGCGCAAGAGGTCATCAGCATATTTCTGATACGACATGTCCACTGGCCGTCCGCACCACTGAGCTTCAAGAAGACACGTGGACGGCAGCAGGGATCTGATCTCCTCGGCCCACTGTTGGACAGGAGCAATAAATGCGCCCGAGAACCCATGCACGTTGAAAGGATCCCCCATAACTCCACCTACCCCAGTTTTTACTGTTAATATGCCCGAGGATGTTTCGACTTCGACCACTGACAAACGGTACCGCTGCCGACACAGAACACGATCATGGTGGGGAACAACTTCCTGCACTACTTTATCTAGACGATCCCATCGAGTACTGCCAAATGCATTAGATAGGTCCTTCATTGTAGTAGCATGTGCCCACCCTGCCTGCCTAAGTCTAAAGCCTATGATCATCGTACTCGTAATTGCATCCTCTCTACGACGGTGACGAGCGAATCCATGATCCTGATCTGGTAACTTCTGGATTAGCCTCTTCGCAAACCACGCCTTGCCGAAAGAGGGGAGGGTGTGTATTAGTCGCCTACCTCGCGGTCCTGGATCCGAAGACTTCGGGAGGCCCACCCCTCTAGACTGATGCCAATACAACGGAGTCATCTGTACCCGCCGAATCTGGGACAACCCGAGGTGCAACAAGTGGTTCAGGGGCTGCAAATCTGGGACCTCCTCCTCATAGCCTAAACCTGCTCCTGCATTGTCCTCGGGAATACCGTGCTCGGGGCTCAAGATCATGTCCCATAACTCCAAAGGGGCGGTATCAGGGGGAACAGCACGTCTTTTGCCTGCACGTCTCATGTAACTGCGGATAGCGCGAAAGTCCTCACCTGCCAGCTCCGATATGTCATTCTCTTCCCCCGCAGATGTCGGTGGCACCGGTTGACTCTCACGCTCAGACCTCCACTGTGGCCACGAGATCTCCCGTGCAAGCATACCCCCTTCAGAACCAGGTAAGGATAGATGACGCAACCATACTTCTTTGTCGAGAGGTGGGGGCCCCAGTCTACGACCGTCCCTTTGCTTCGCTCCGAATCGACACCTCGCAGCTCGCCTCGAAATCATCATCGCGTCGGCCATCCTCCTCTCCTCCCACGCCTCCTGTATCATCTCGATGAAAGCATCCTTCTCCACCTGCTGTGCTCGTCTCCTCTCCCTCTGCAGTCTTCCTGATAGCTCCTTCAGCTCGTCCTCCACCTTATCCAGATCCTCCCTCACAGCTCGTTGGGCCCGAAGCTCTCGACGGAGCCGAAGCAGGGAACGACGATGGGCCGAATCAGCAGGGGGAGGAGCGAGAGGAGGACGAACAAAGTGTGTGCGGCCAAATCGAGTAAGTATACCTTCCAACTGCTCGAAGAACTCATCAGGTGCACCCTTCTCTGACAACTGGACTAGTTCGCCATGGCGAAGGTCAATGGCAGCCGCGATGTCCCTCAAGTAAGCTAGCTTCCCCACTCCTTTACTTATTGCTTGCATCAGTGCTGAGGGGCACATACGTTGGCATTCTTGGCGTGGGAGTTCGTGGGGGTCCTTGACATATTCCAAAGTCAGACACATAGGCAGGTGGTCCCGTGGAGGAACCCCTCGGACAGCCTGTAGTTAAGCTCCTAGTTCCCGAAGGGTCCCACACTGTCTGATTCTCGGCTGATAACCTTTTGCCAGGAAAAAATCATCCAAACGTGACGCAGAAGGAGGATGTGCCGAAGAATAATACGTGTGCTCATACGGGTAGAACGTACTCGGCGCGATCATGTGTTGCTCGTCTAACAGTTTGCGCACCTCCTCCCCTGCTCTTCGACGACGTGCCTCCTGTGTCCTCGTATCTCCTAGTGACTCCGAGTGGGGACTGGTCCAGGTACCCGCTACTCGACTGAGTCCTATGCCGTCGTTTATATCCGAGAAGAAAATGGGGAGGGTACGTGCGGGGAGCTCTTGGAGTATGCCCCGCCACCAGTTTTTTTGAGCCTGCACCGTGCCGAAGTACGTCCCCGCCTGTCCTCTCTTTGAGGGCTGGGGCGGGAAATACAAGACCCCGAAAGTGACGTCCATGGCCCCCCTCTTGATTCTGGCCGCAATAGCTCGGCCACCAGCTTGGGCGGGGGATACCCA